GAGCTAGTTGGCTGCGTCCCTGGAGTGGAATTGGAGGGATGTGGGCTGGGCCTGTCTCCCACCCTGTTAGTACAAGGCAGATTCTGACTCACCCAGGACTTTCCAATAGTGGGAGTTTCCTATGATGGGACAGGCTGTCCTGAGGGGTAGTGAGGTCCCATTCACAGGGCTGTGGGGTGTGTGTTGGCGGGGGGAGACGGGCTCATACCCCAACTTCTCCAAGCTATATTGAAAGAGTGTCTGGTGCAAGGAATGAGCTGAGGCTTTGGGGGTTATCGGACATAGGTTTGAATCTAAGCTTTACTATTTTCTTTATTTTTTTAAGATTTTATTTATTTGAGAGAGAGAAAATGAGCAAGGGGAGGGAGAGGGAGAAGCAGACTCCCAGCTGAGGAGAGGAGCCCCCCCGCCATGCGGGGCTCAATCCCAGGACCCTGGGATCATGACCTAAGCCGAAGGCAGACACTTAACCAACTGAGCCACCCAGGCGCCCCAGCTTTACTACTTTCTAGCTATATGAACTTGAGCAAGTAATTTCCCTCTCTGAATTTCCAGTTTCCTCTTTCAAGTGGCTGTGTACTCATGGCAGTTTGAGAGGGAACCAAGGGGCCTGGGAAGGCAGGTATTTTGAGAAAAAGAAGAGAGGCAAGGCTGGTCCCAGGACCGTGGGTCACCTTCAAGAGTAGGAAAGGCCAGCAAAAAACCCCCATCCCGGACAATCTGGGCTGGGAAGGAGAGAATGTGGCAGACTCCCTGAGAAGGAAGAGATAGTCAAGGGGACCCTTTTGGAGAGGTTAGAATCAGGGTCCCCCGATCCCATAGGCAGAACCTGGGCAGTGAAATACTTCTGCTGTCATGGTGACCGTGATCCACCACTCGCACCCTCCCTTCCCCCACCACGGACCACACCCTGCTACAGGTGCAGCCTCTGCCCAAACCCTCAGCCCCCGCTGGGCATGGAGTCAGACTGCCCCCCCGCACCAGTTTCTCTCTACATCGTGAGGTATCTCCGGGCTGCGGGCCACTTGGGTGAGCCTGACGAAGGGCATTCAGAGCTTCGTGTCTGGATTTTAGGCTTGTGGCTGTCACAGGCTCCTCCACTTCTTTGAGTGCTTATTGCACCCCAGGAGCCCTTGACGGCTCCATCTCACTGATTCCTTACAAGACAGACACTGTGAGCTTGCTCATTTTACAGTTGAGGAAACAAGGCACTGAGTGATCAGGTGACTTGCCCAATACGCAGAGCTGGTAGTTGGCAGAACTTGGGTTTAATCCAGACTGGTGGTTCTAAATGCCCCATCTCTGGGGCAGGAGCTCTGACTTAGTTTGGGGGATGGGCAAGGGAAGGCACCCTGGGGAAGTGATATTTGAGCTAGATCCCAAGGTAAGCATCAAGCCAAGAGGACGGGGAACCCCATATGCACAGGCCCAGGTGGGGAGTGAAGCTGGAGGGATGGGAAAAAGGGCCCTTGTAGTTGAGTTCAGGGAGCAAGGTGGGGGTGGGAGGGCAGGGGACAGGGATAGGATGTGGAGAGGTGGACAAGCTTTGGCTCCTGAGGCCCCTGGAATTCATGGTGGGTAGTTCCAGCCACAAACTCCAGTGTCAGGCAAAAAGGTTTTTATTTTATTTTATTACGTTATGTTAGTCATCATACATTACATCATTAGTTTTTGATGTAAGCAAAAAGGTTTTAATCCTGGGGGCTGGCTCAGTCAGTAAAGCATGTGACTCTTGATCTTGGGGCTGTGCATAGTTCAAGCCCCACATTGGGCATTGAGCTTACTTAAAAAAAGGGTGGCTCAGTTGGTTAAGTGTCTACCTTCAGCTCAGATCATGATCCCAGGGTCCTGGGATCGACCCTCACAGCTTTTCCCTCTCCCTCTGCCCCTCCTCCCTGCTTGTGCTCTCATGCTCTCTCTCCCTCTCTCCATCAAATAAATAAATAAAATCTTTTTTAGAAGTTTTTTTTTTTT